TTTCTACAAGAATCAGTTACAAATCATTGTTTCAAACTGTTGTGTTTTATTTCTTTATTTATCTATTATTATTAATTATAGGTTGATGTTTTGATACAACAATATTCGTTGGTATTTATAGTTGAATTCTATATGTAGATACAATTGGATATGCTTCTAATATATATTGTGATTTGTGAAATGTAATTTGCAGCAAGATCGCCCTTAAATTTATAGCTCATGTTTTGATAAAAGCATAAGATTGATATAACATAAGCATACAAGAAGAAGAAGTTACTTCATGTTGATCTTTGTCCTATGAAAAGTCGTGCCATCTGTAGATGCCTCACCAAAACACCAAATATATGTTCTTTTAAATCTAATTGACAATAATTTGTCATTGTAAAACTTTTTTTTCTTAAATTGAAGCATATTCTTTCTCATTGATGTTTCTTTAGGTATTGCTTATGTTCCTATAATGTTATGTTGAATCTGTAGAGTTGTATCATTAGTTTTATGGGACTAATGATTCGTTGGTGATTAAAACATGTATTATGATAGAAATAGTTGAGCTTTGTATCCAAAAAGTTTCTTAGATTTTGTAAAAGGAAAATGCATGAATCTTTGATATTCTTTTAAGGGCAGTAGCTAGAAGTTCATTTCATAATTTCGTTGACAGCTGTGTTTTTTAAATAAAGCAAAAGAAGGGGTACGTTAAGATTAACAAATGGCCATTCATAAATATTGAATTCTTTTGACGTTTTAGGATCATCAGTATTAAAATGCAGCGATACCAGAAAAAAAATTATCATTTTAGGGATTAAATTAAAATTGTAAGAAAGTTTTCTCAATCTCACAAATCTAATATATCATAATATAGAAAAGGTAAAGAAAATAAATTCGTAAATTTAAAAAATATATATACAGTTAGAAGGTTATAATCAATTTTCCACTCGAAAAAGTTATTTAACAATGTTAATTATTTTAAGTTTTCATTTCCCCGTGCGGCAACGCACGGGCTGACAGCCCTAGTACTTTATAAAAATAAGTTAAAAAATATAGTAGTTTTTTTGTTGTTGTAGTTTACAAAATAACATCTAAATCAAAACACTAATTAAACTCTTCATGTAAACCTTAAACACTCAATTTTGCATCTTAACCATAAAACGTAATTATTTCTTCACTAAAAAGTCTTTATCTAACAAAGTTCTAAGAATCAGTACATACGTGGTATTTCATGTGCATGTACATAAAGTGAGATGTGTATTGCTTTGAAAGGAAATACTTTCAATAGTTTGTGATTTACATATTCATATTTTTCGGTATTTGGAAATGTAAATACTGAATATTTTAGTTGAAAAGTGAGAAACCAAAAATTTTGCATGTGGAGATTCTTGAATTCGCATTACGCAAATGCTTTTTCGGGTTGAGTAGATCAAATATTAAAATTGTTTTCAAATATTAAAATGTTTTTTAATTAAATGGGTGTATCTTGTTTTTTTTTTTTTTTACCATTTCTTTTACCGCTTCGGAACCGGTTTGTTGAAAACGATGTTCATGCTAATAAATATGATTACAAGAATATGACCTTTGAGGTCATATACGTCATATATAGTTTTTGAAGGTAGTTAAAGAGAAGAACATACATCATAATGTCATATATAGTTTTTGAAGGTAGTTAAAGAGAAGAACATGCATCATAATGTCATATATAGTTTTTGAAGGTAGTTAAAGAAAAGAACATACATTTAAGTATATCTTAGATTAGAGAAAGAGAACACAAGAGATTATTTAATTTCAAAGAGTATCGAGACGTATCTTTCAGTTTCATAGTGTATCAAGAAGACATCTTCGAGACTTCGACTGCTCGACTAAAGGTTTTATATATTCAGATTAGTGTTTTAACAGAACCGAGAAGCGAAACGGAACGTACGTGAGAACGCAAGTTTTTAGTCATTTTCTCTTGCGTGTTATATAGTTAGCTTAAGAAAAATTCATCATTTATTCTAAGGTTTAGTCGTCATAAATCAGCTGGTTTTTCTAAGTAAAAACAATAGCATATAATGTGATAAATGGTAATCTTATTGTTTTCTACAACGTCTTCATAAACCCCAAATAAAATCTCAAGAAAACATAATCCAAAGAGTTTGACGTTACGAGAATTAAAACTGAATTATTCAAGTGCATGGTGAAAATATATCCATCTTAGATTCTATTTTATTTACTTAATTGGAGAAAAATCCAACTTTGGTTGACTCAGTGGTGGAAGATATAGCTGCGAATCCATAGAGCAGAGAGGCGACTTGAGGAACCAAATATGTGGTAACACTTACGTATCAGAAATCAAGCCTGTGTTTGTCTACGCTTTCGCTTCTTCTTGGTGATTCCCTGCATGAATTGAATTACAAGATGAGACAAAACGCAACGAAACTTACTAATGTGGTGTCCTATGCTAATGTTGTAATGATGAATATCACCTGAGCCACGGAGAGGTCTATTCCAAAGAGCATAGCTCCACTGTTTGTTTTCTTCTGACGTAACTCCCACGGTGAAAACCATTGTTTGCTAAAGCATCCTGGTTCATCCCATTGTACGCACAAGCAGTTCCACTTGCTACCCGACAAATCAACGGAGGATGGATTCTTAAAGTTAGATTCTGTAATCGTTCCTTGATGCTCTCTGTTATCATTCCATTTGCTAACCCTTACACCTCTTCCCCAGTCCATGCCAAGAATAGTCTCGAATAAAGGTACCGGTACCAAGAAATTAGAGTCAACACCATTGGGATAGCATGTAATCGTAGCTGGATAATAGCTACTTAAGTATCCATGTACTTTGCTAAAGGCTTCAAGGCAGAGATCGTTTCTTTTTGGCACACTCACAGGGCTAGCTCTCCTAACAGAAAAACGAGTGTTATCCAAGATGCGGTCTCTCAAGAACACCACGACATCACCAACATGAACCGATTTATCAATCACAAAAGAAGCCCAGTAATGAGTCACTAAGTAATCTTGGTGGTCATCTCTGAACATGAGCTTGAACGTCCAGCTTTTCTCAGAAAAATCTATCACTGTAAATGTGGTAACTGGTCGGAGCAGCTCTCTAAAAAGCTGCGAGTGAGAGAGAGTTGTTGAAGATGCGCAGGTTCATCGATTGGCTTGACAAAGGTAGATAGCATATGCCGCATACTTGGCTTTGGTGGCTTAGGTACAATAACACGAGATTCCACGGAACACGGCTTCATAGTAACTTTTGCATACACCTCATCTGTCAGGGGATCGGCCCTCAGTAGGACTTGGGAAACATCACAGTGAATGGGAGGCATATACTCAAGGGATGACAACACTTGCGAGGAAGCTGAGCAGTGATCCGCATGCCCTTTAGGAATGTAGTTGAGGTGATCAGAGGGAAAAGGTGCTACAACGTCTGCACCAGCACACGCATTCCAAAGGTCTCTGTGAACTGGTGTGCCGTAATCTGTGGTATTCGTCGACATTTTACAAAAGGCTCCAACTGTTTCTGGTCAAAGAAAGACAAGAGATTACTTGTGTTAGAGAGTTGTCTAAACCTGTCTGATACAGAGTAATATTCTAAACTGTAATCCAAAACTCTGTTTTGGTTGGTTTGAATCCTTGTATCCCCATAAACAACATCAATTCTATACCAATAACTAATCCTAGCGTTTCATCTGCTAAAGAGTTGTCAACACCTGTTTATAGTACCAATCCTAATCGGGGCTAAGAACAAGACAAGCACATCAATTGCAAAAGGCCTGAAAACTCTATCCATTCCAAGACAGAGAAGAGACTTGTGTTTGAGATTTTGTCAAAACAGTTTAGAATTCCCAAAAGAGAAAAAGAAAAAATCCCTCAATTTCAGGCAGAAAAACACATAGCAATTCATCTCTGTTTATAGACATTTAACTATCTCCTAATTCCAACATTGACACTAGCACATTACACAGAGAAGAGACTACTTTCGTGAGACGCTTTTCAAGTCTATTCAGGGAACAGGAATCGTAATAAGTTCACCAAATCGAACATATTCTAACCACTTGAGAAACAGAGACATTAAGAAAGATCGAGACAAGATAACGAACGTACTCAAACGAAAGAGACTATGGAGCGAGAGAGAGAGCGAGAGGTATAGAGAGAGATTTTCACCTGCGAACGAGCGTCTTCCTGAGAGCGATCAAAGCTGGTTCTGAGTTCTCTGCGAATGCGAGAGAGCGTCTTCCTGAGAGCGATCAAGAAAGCTGACTTCTGAGTTCTGCGAGTGCGAGCGAGCGTCTTCTTGAAGCTATCGAACTGGTTCTGAGTTCATCAAGCGAGCTTCTTCCCGAAGCGATCAGTCTTGCTTTTCTTTGGAGATTCACGTCGCAGAACAGAGATTATGTCTGTTATTTAGAGCTATAGACTATTAAGTATAAGAAGCGGACTTCAAATCCATTTTATTTTTAATTTGGCGTCCGGCGGTTATTATTTTGAGTTTCGTAACTCAAACACGAATTTTTTTTTTTCAAATATTGTGCTTCTCGTATCCGCGCATATCAAATTAATGGGCCTAAGCCCAATCCTCGTCCGCGTGTTTTTGCTGAGCTGGCATCAGCTACTCTATACTTGGGACCCATACCTTTATCCATGCTGGCACAACGACAAGTCGACAATATTATTAGCCAAGTAAGGATTAACGTTGCATTATTATATGGGCCTTTCCAGCCCAAATTTAAGATTTATTGGGCCTTTTGTAGTCCATCATTTGTCGTCATTTAAAAGACGCTGTGAACTGGATCTTTCTTTACATCCGAAGAATGATGGCACGACATCAATTTGTAAAGAAAGATTTGAGTTTTCTCCACGACATGTTTGGGAAAAATGCCATAACACATTTTTGAACATTTGAAAGCTCCATGATCTTGGCGAACAGATGGATGCATATGACTTTACAAAATACTTTTTTGATATTATAATTAATTAACGTTAGCATATAACAAATATAGCACACATTATGTAACACACGAGATATGGATGCTATATTCGATATGGAAAGAAGATAACTCTCTCTACAACTCTGTTGCGGTGTTGCCAAATCGCCATCAGCTCTGCATGCGCGAGATTCAAGTGACTATGCGTGCACCTTGTACAAACACTTACAACATAACACAATCACTTATGCAACTTTCTTAAAATGTAACATCATTTACCTAAACTGTTTTCTCCGTTTTTCTAAGCTTAAATAAAAAAGGCCAAAATCCAAATATTGAACTAAATTCTGAGCTCGTTTCACCCAAAGTACTATAGTTCATCTAATTCTCACATGGTAAACTGCACAATGGACAAATATGATTGGTGGCAATTACAAACCACTCGAGGATACAACTAGTGTCCACAGCATCAAAAGTACATATATTATTGTGGGCGCTGGACTTTGTCTTCTTGTATATATAGTTTACTTGAAATAGACTCAAATTAAGAGAAAACCTACTTGCCATTCTTAATCGTATATCAGTGGTTTTCCGTTAGACACAAAATTAAACCAATTCCAAAACTCAAAACCTTTTTATTGAGATAATAGAAAACACAAGAGAGCAAAAATCTTCTCTTCCCTCGACTAAGCTCTAAATCCCTCCAACTCTTGGATGAAACATTACACCAACCTTGTTAATTTTAAGAAACATAACACCAACAAAGGAAAATAAAAAAATTGAAAACCTATAACGATAAGGAAAACCCTACTTATACTTGTGGTTCTCAGGTTGTGTTTCCTTTTCTATACGTGAATTAGGTTCCATTTAGGCTCTTGGATGCGCATTACACTCTTTTTTTTTGTTTGAATCTAATGTTAAATTATATTCAAAATAAAAATAACGTTTTTACAACAAGTGCAACATTAGCTTAATGTAAAACCGGAAAACAATTTGAACTCTTATAAATGATTAAATGCGGGAAAACAATTTGAACATTACGCTCTCATCAACAAGGAGATGTATATACTCTTCATTCATTGTCTTCATCGTCGTCTCTTCCAATGATATATATTTTCCAGCCATAAGAGGAGGACGGCTACGACCAGACTTAAAGGTAATATGAATTGACAGAGCACAATCTGGAGAATAGTTAACGGAGAAAAACATGACGTAAGTGACAAGTCTACTGAGTTCCACCCTCGCAAAATCAACAAGAGAGACATTGAGACGTTCATCGTCCTCTAAGCAGTTCAGTTGTTCCCATCTATAACTCGTAAAGCTATCTCGAAACTCTTTGGCAGGCAAGGAGAAAGCCAGCACTGGTCGGCAATCTCTTATAGGATATTCAGACATTAATATACTCACATAGACTTTGATTCTTTTAGCGTCTTCAGGTTTAGGATTGTGGTCTATTTCATGCTTTAGGGATACACTATCTCCATGAAAATCCATTACAAAGGATACGAGAATGTGTATTCTTCTCCTGGTTTACAACGCTGTCTTCTGTTTATATATAGAGGCGGTGGACTTGGATCTAGGGTTCAGTTTGGGTTTGATATACAAATAAATAGATATATATTGTTGGGATTCAGATTAAATCAGATCTATTTGTCTAATTAAACAGTCATACTAATGGTTATCTTAATGTTAAACTTAAAAGCAAAATAAATACTAATGGTTATCTTAATGTTAAACTTAAAAGCAAAATAAATTTATTTCAAAATAAATTAAACTTTTTTGTTTACGTAAATTACATTTTTGTTACAAAATAATATATATATATATATATATATATATTATTTTTTCAACCGAAGAGATGAAAAATATGAGAACCATAAGATATTTTTAGATAATATAAAAGATATGAAAAGATTAAGAATAAATATATCCTTGTGTTCTATAGCATGATTATAATAGGACCTACGCAACAACCAATATATGGCAATTTGCAAGAGTTAGTCGTGTACATATGTATATTTAAGTAGTTCTCATGAGTCACGAGGTTTCTCAAAGAAGTGAAAGACAACATCATTAGTATTAGGATGATGATGCGTCTACAATTTCTGGATGAGCTAGTGACTATACTTTTGTTATAATTTTTCAACAAATACTAACAAGTACCTCTATATAAATTATTTTGTAGCAAACAAAGAAGTGTATAGAAGAAAATATATACAAGAATAATTAGAAAGAGATAGCTAAGGGGAGATGTCCCCTTCGTAGTGGGACATTATGTTGGGGTTGTTAAATAAGTAATGTAAGCTCTCATCCTTTAAAATACACGAATGGGCACATTTGGTGGCTTTTTCAACCTCAGACAAACATAGTCCCAAAGTTGAGACCAGTCCCTAATTTCCCATTCTTCTTGTCTTCATTTGGGCCTCCATTGTCAATATCTTACACCCCATGTGTCTGAATCCATGAAAACTACTTCTTCTTTTCTTTTTTCTTTTTTTTTTAATCGAATTTTCCCAATCCAAACCCACACTATCGTAAAATATGTTTGCACCACTCAGTTCTTATATTGCAATGTTAAGGAAATAAGCATACGTGGAGAAACACAGCTCAACCATGTAGTTTCGAACTATCGCAATCAATAAGATGACAATCTTAATTAGGTAGAGAAGTAGAACATCTTTAATATATAATCGTCCCACACTATGACAATTTTATAAATTTATGCGAAATACCACAACAACATTCATAAACTACTATGTATGTTGTGTAACTTAGTTGTAAGTATTGAAATTCACGACTAATATTATATCTTTAACTATTGTTGCTAAAGAGATCAAAAGAGGGTGGCAATATAACATAGTTATTCACCTAGCTAGAACGAGAAAACAAATCTTGGTCTAGGATTGACTTCTAACATTTTCCAATAAATTTAAAAAACCTCAAAAGGTTCATACTCTACCTTTCGTTTCAATTTTCAAAGCACTAAACACTGTATGTTATTGATTCCATGCATATCGACATATTAATATCTAAACTAGAGATCAAATTTCACCAAATACGAAAAAGTAGTAATAATTCATATTTTGTCAGTCGCATATGGAAGTGTTAGTACTTAGTAGACGTAAATTACGTTTAAATGATAATACTCTGTTAATTACTTAATTCTATTGTTATCAACATTAGCGTCAATATATCCAGTTTTTGGAAGACAGACAAGACATAATAAACAAGACAGGGAGATCAGCCGGTGAGACAAAAGATCTTATTACAACTGTGTAGCGTTGGTAATGTATTTGAATTTGACCAACGCAGTAAAATAGAATAAACAAATACTACTACTGTATATAACTTTCTTAACAAAATTGGTAAATCTTTTATGATATTAAAATCAAAAGAGAAAAAGGAATATTAGGCATGCAACGATTTGACAGACACCTAGAAGCTACTCACTAACCTTTGTCCTTTTCATATTCTCATTTTTCAACACAGTGAGAAATTAAGGTAATTAGAAAAATAATACACATCTTTTTGTCGTAATTATAAGAAGTTAAAATGGGAAGATTACAAAAACCTATGCTTTGCGTATTAAAAAATTGAACGAAGACTACAATACCCTATGATTTGTGAGGGTGTTCTTAAACAAAGACTATTATTATTACCTTGGGATTTTCGAACACTAGGATCTAATAAGTTAAATAACTCTGACTTGTGTTAAGAGAATGGGAAGATGAAGACATTTTAGTTAATTAAGCTTAAACCACCAATAAGTTAATAACTCTGACTTGTGTTACTTTCTTCTCTACCCCTATTGGTAGGATTAGGAATAGGATGATATATCTCTTATTTACTCATATTCGAAATTCCAAATTGGTATATTCTATGAATATATATCATCTAGGGCATTGTAGTTTCTTTAGATAATAATGTCAGCTTTTTAACATCTAGTGGATCTGTGAATAGGATATCATGTGACTCATGTCTATAATTTTGTTTATTGATGGGATTAGTTTACTTACTTACTTTTGCTGATGTACATTAACATGATCTTTTTTGCAACAAAGACTTGTTTATTCTTACCAATGAAAGCAATTATATGGACTGTTGAAACTCTTAAACTTAATCAAAAACTATAGTTCTCTACTGCTTAAACTTGATAAAGATGACATATCAATTTTATTTTATTGGTATTAGAATACAATATCATGTCAAGTCTGAAAAAGCAACGTTGATTAGATTGAAACAAATCCAATTGTAGTTAAATATATTATATCGATAAACAAATAGTTTCAGCCTCCTCAGATTTTTAAGTTTGTTGTTTAAGTTCTTAAACATTAATTTGAATCACTCAATCACAGTCATATATTCACTTACTTTGTGAAGCTATTTATCATCATCACATATGAAAACTAGACTACAAGAGATTTAAGAAAGCATTTTCGAAAAGATTTCATAAAGAATTAAAGAAAAAAAAAAAAGAATGTAAGGAAAAGACATGTGGTGTTCTGGTTTAGCTTTCTCTACTTTTCATGAAACCAACCCCAAATTCAACTCTTCCTTCTTTGACCATTTTTATCAACTTACTAATTCAACTGTTTCGTATTTACTGTTTACCATTTGCTTTATGAACATATTAGTGTTAAAGTTGTATTTGAAACAAAATTTGACAACAAAAAAGATAAATGGACCCATTAACTTTAGATAGTTAAGAGAGGATCCTATGAGATTAAGAGAACTAACTAGTAATGAGTAATATTACTTTTCTTGTGACTTGTACACTTTACCTTATTCCACATTTTTGGAATTTCCAAACCCAACTTTTTTTTTTCTTTTTTTCTTTTTTAATTTCTTGTCTGCCTATGTACTAAAAAAAAACCTTCACAATCTATATTCACATATATATATATAAATCATATTATAAACGGCTCACCACAAAAATAAATAAAGCCCCCCTCTACTCTTATCCCCCAACCCAAAACTTAATTTGATCATCTCAAAAATATATGTGAAGTAAAAATTCCAAGTCGCCTTGCCTTTCTTCTATCTTTGAGATTACCTTTTTTTTTTACTCTTCTCGACGCTGCTTTTGATCACATTTCAGTTGAGCAAACAGCCTTGAGAATGTTAGTTAAAAAATTCTTAGCCCTTCTTTATCTTTTAGCCGTCTTCAATGAAGATCCTACTGATGAAGTCTCTGAACCTCTTGGAGTAGAGTTTAGGATCAACTGCTGATATTGATGCGGGATCAGCTTGGAGTGACTTATATGCATGCTCGATCTTTTTCGTTAAGTCATAGTCTTGCAAGATGTCAATGACTCCAAAGTAGAGAACCACTTCGTACATCTCACCGTGAGATGGATGATTGGCTCCTCCTGATGTATACTGATCAAAATCGCTTCTCCGCACCATTCGTTCTGCTCTTGCTGGCATGTTTGCGCCTAATCTTATCGATGGTTTCCTGTTAAAAAAAAAACACAGAATGGATTTTTGAGCAAAACTGATGAATCATGAATTGATTGATTCTTTTCTTAGCAAACAGGACCACATGATTTGTTTTCACACTACTCAAACAATATAGCCAAGCAAATGTAATCATTCCTACATTTATTAATACTAATCCGAAACTGAAACTCTCAACCACTCCATGTCTCTGCAACTATCAATGGCTATGAATGCAAAAAGCTTCCTCTGTGAAGTCAACTTCTTAACATTAAAAATTACACCCGGATCAACGATTGTTACCTGCCAGCTAAAATTCGGTCCATGTCTTGAAGTTCAGCCTCTAGGAATCGACAACCGCGCATAAATTTTTCATTCTGATATGAATCTATCCTACCTGCACAAGATATTGACATTAGTCTCATGATAGGTCGACTTCAATGGGGGGACACATAGAGAATGAGGTCCAAATTACCAGATCTCAAAACGAATGGAGAAAGCCCCATCTTTTCTCCTGTGTTGTCATCACGGAAGTGCACACCAACTAAAAGGCTATAATCCATTATTCTCTCGGCTTCCAAGAACTCACAGTCGCGTTTTATTTGCCTGATCATGAATACCAAGCATAATTAGATATATGAATGCTTTCCATAGCCAAGAGGCACAAACAAATAAACCTTAGAAGCATGGAGCTTACTTCATAAGCTCTTGATACCAGTTTCTCTGAAGACGAAAAGAAAAATTGAGATCAAGGTCCTTGAGAGTCGTGGTCTCATCAATTTCCCCTTCAGGCTTTGCAGTACTGCGTCCATGAGAAGACCCTTTGAGGTCAAACCGCCTCTGAATTCTATACTCAGAGCAGAACAAGTTTCCCATGACGATAAACCGAGTCTGGTAAAAAATGATAAGCAAAACAATAAATCTTCTGGATACTAAGAGACCCATGAAGCTTTAGATGAACAAACACATACCTTTTGGCCCCCAACAGGTTTGACACAATGCACACCGTAGAATCTAGTCACAAGGGAGTTTTCGTATTGGGAGACATGTTTGTAGTA